TCTGTATATCATGCCATTTGAATCTTTCCTCTCTTGGCGCATCTTAGTAGTTTTTGTTTCATTGGGCTATCATTTTTTTCATAAAATTGTCGCTGAGAGTGTGATATAAAAAAAACATTCAGTGGTCTCTTGTGGACAAATTCTGAAATTATTCAGGAAGAAGGCATATTTTCAAAAGCATGCTGGGCTATAAAATTCAATTATCTAAATTGTCAGCATTTTATTTAGCATCAAGTGCAAAGGACAGATTTAGCGGTTGGTATTAAATATTATGGGCATATTTTGGATAATAGATCATATGATCAGGTAGTTTTGATTCTAATGACATAAACTCAATTTATTTTTAGGTGATGAAGACACTTGAGCGTGCAGTGGAAGATTTGCAAAAAACATGCAGCAGTTTGAGAGTGGAATGTGATCGACGTCGAAGAGATGCAGAAAATGGTGAAAAAACTATCATATCATGCAAGGAGCAGAATAAGTTTTTGAATGAAAGAAATATGAAACTTGTAAAGAAATGCGAAGAATTATGTGAAGAGAATAAGGCTTTTCTTAGCAGGTATATTCCTTGTCATTTTTAAAACAGTAAGACTGCACGCCAAATATATTCATTATATAACATCTGAAACTCAAACGATCTTTTCTTTAGATATGCAGTCATATTGAATCGTTTTTGCACCTTATCATTTTGATTTTTATAAGAAATCGAACTGATTATAAGCATTTCATGACAAAAATTAATATTTTAATTAGTTTTTAGGCGCGATGAATCGACAAAGGAACTTGCTGAAATGCGACCACGATTCGAAGGGTTGCAGGGTGAGCTAAGGCAAAGAGTTGAAGAGGGCAGGTAATTTCCATTTATTAAGCTTAACATCTGGTGAGAGACTGTTGCATTTCTATTGTAGTTTTCTATCATCAGATTCGCAAATGGAAAGTTATAATTCATGAGTTCATCTTTTAGAAAAATGGTGGCACAATTGAGAAGTTATGAAGAAAAAGAACGAATATGGAAGAAGGTATGATTTATGCAGTTCTTGAGCTTTATACTCTCTTCTTTCGAGTTTTCTTTTTTGTTACTTGAAATTATTTATTGAATTGGGATAGGCTTAATTAGTTGCGGTATTTCTAGCAAGGATTCCATTTCATACTTGATTTATATATTTTGTTTTTAACGGCGATCTAAATGTAGGAAAAAGCAGACCTGGAGAAACGAATTGAGATTAAGGATGCAATGGCAGCAGCAGAAAGAAAGAATAATGATGAGTGGAAAAAGCGACATCTTACAGAAAAAGCTGAGCTGGAACGGAAAGTAAAACTTGCTGAACCCGAAATACGCCGTTCACTCGATGCCGTGAGCATTTTCATTCAGATAGGATTTTTAGGAAAGAATTATTACATGTGAATTACATGTGAAACAACTTTTCTTCAAAATTAGGATGATTGTTTACCTTCAAACGCCAATTTTAGCACTAGATACATACTCTATTTACTGATGCTCCTTACCATCTCTTTCAACTCTTTTAAAATTAGATAAAAGATAGGTTTTGTACTAACTTTTATAGTTTCCGTTTTATTTTGCATAGTACGTCTTGCAGAAATAATGAAATTTATATGTAAAAACGGTATGTTATGTCCATTTCGAGGTGCACACGTACAAATTTATTACATAATTTTGCTTTGTTGGATTTATGTGTCCTTTAAAAAATGCCTATATGCACCATTCTTATCTTTAAGGATTATTTTTACCTGTAGCAATGGTTAAAATTAATGACTTTTTTGATGGAAAATTCCTTTTTCCTTCTTTTTTGTTAGTAATTGAAACATTGGAAATGTTATATTCAGTTTAAAAAGAATTAGATATGTCCCCAAAAGTACTGTGAGTTTGAAGACACAGATGTACATATCTGTGGTGCATGTGAGCAAAGTTTATTAATGGATTCACTTTTGCTTCAGCATCAGCAAAGCGATTATATTGTGAAAATCAATTGCTGTGTTGATTTAGTGACAACGTAATCTGCTAGACTGTTCAAGTTTTTTCTTAGGAGATTAATATTTTTTTCTGACCTGTCGAATGGTCTTGGTTGGATTGTATGTAACTATTGGAAAACACTGTGGATCGTTTTTGCGCTTTACCAAGCTATTTAGTTTCTATCGTCCGCCTTAAGGAGAAAACTAATCAGTTCCAGGAAACAATAAAGAACGCAATAGAAGACATTCGAGCATTTTACGAGCAGAAACTGGAGCTAACATTGAATGAGTTAAATACGTTCAAAAAGAAGCATTCAAAAAGTGCAGCAGTGTCATCTTCGTCTTCTTCCGTTAACCTCCAAAAATGTCGTCCAATGTCGGCACCCCCAGTTTGTTGTTTACCATCTTCCATTGCCCACCTTTCAAATGGTCGTCCCTCTGTTTCTTCTGATTTCATTATAAAAATACATTCTTCATCATCTAATTCATTCATTGACAATAATAAAATCAATACTGATGACAGCGATCAATTTTAGCTTCTCATTGTTATTACTACTGTTTTTAATCTTAATACTGTTATTGTTGTTGTTATTGTTATCTTATATATACACGCTTCGATGTTTCTCAGTTTGTTTGCATTTTTTCCAGGGAAATGTAAATTTCTGCCGGTCATAAATTTAATATCTTGTGTGGGTCTCTCTTTTTCTGAACTCTCCAAATATTAATTCCTTTGGTTTCTTTTAAGTACAACTTGTCTCAGAAAAATCTCTAGGTTTCTTGATAAATCTGCATATTTGATAGAAACAGTACTCAGATTTTGATATACTGTGGTTGGACTATAAGCCGCTTTTCGATATTAGAAGGAATTACCAAGTAAATGTGATGCAAGTTTGGAAGGATTAGATGCAGCGTAACTTTATTTTTGTTCACATCGTAGATTTTATTTTGTCAACTTTTTCAATAAGCTTCAGGTGTTAGTTACAGATATTGCTTAGCCTTATAGAACTACTAGCACAAACAGTAGGTTTTCTTTAAAAAAAAATGGTAAAGGGATGTTGTGCTGGTGGATAAATCCTTATGCGCTTTCACCACGGAGCATGATCTGTTAAAATGGCTGACGGCAGTTGACCTTGTTGTAGTTGATGTCTTAATGAAATTTGTGAAATCTTGTCGTGGAAATAGGCGCTCTCCAGCGTCGTGTTTTGTCGATAACAAAAGCGATATACAACTTCATGCATGTAACATTTTTTATGTAAATGACTTTTTGTGATTTTATGAGTTATATCGCTAATATTTGTGTCAGGGATGCAAACCTTTCATTTGTGTATATGGTCGGGCGAATGTGCGAATTTGTTCTTATGTGAATTTGTTTTAACGCTTTGAAGTCATCTGACGACCCAAAAGATAGTGAAAAATTTTGTAGAGTGTGACACCAGACAACGCGACAGACTGATTTTAAGCTTTGATAACTATCAACAAACAATGTGAGCAGTTTAGATATCAGCAATTTATATCAAATATTTGTGCTTTCCAAGTGCTCTGGCATAGTTATTCCGCTGCCTAGCCAGAAATCAGCTTCTTCATCATCGTCTTTGTCTCTGCAAGCTTAACTTATTCGCTGGTTATTTCGCTCTCGTCACACGATACGGGTTATTTGATTCATCACATTTAGATTTTTACGTTTTCACCTTTGTAAATTTGAACTCAAGCCGGTGAATTGTTTGTTATACTGATAATGTATTTTCAACATTTATCATCCTTATTTGCATATTTGTGATCACCAGTTCTGAAATTGTTGTGACATGGTATCGTCATCTGTTGATGTTCTGAAAATTTCCTTAAAGTGTATTTCTTTGACGATCACTAAAGCAATCTTAAAAAATATATAATATGCTTTTAGTAACAAGGGCTGTGGGTATTCAATTTTTAAAACTATTTTTGCTTCATATGTTCCCTTGCACATCATAACTCTCCCTGAGTGGATTTCATTTTTAGTAAATATGACTCTACTAAATCTGTACGGTCTGAAATCCACGATGAGTTGATTCCTCCTACACTCATTGAACTGTCAGTAAGCAAAACAGAAGTTCATTGTTCCGCAAGAAATTATGATGCCATTATCATGTACAAACAGTAAATATGAAACGCCACAAAGTGTGTGATTTTACAGAAGTGGAACTAGAAAGGGACTAAGATAGATTCACAATGATTAAGTACAAAGGAGAAATAGTCTACAAACAAAACGCAAATAGGTTTTTTACGAATATGGAAGGATATGGCAGGCGTCACTGTTCTAAAAATGTATAACCTCGCTGGCGGGTAAAGAATAAACTTTAAAGACTGACAGAGGAATCAAACGGAGTGGAAATTGAATTCCAAAGTCAATTTTCAAATAAGAGGCTAGAAGCAAGCGGGTATTTCTTCAATTCTCGTAGTAATACATATTACATTTAGTCATCCCGATGAGCTAAGACTAAATTTTCAAGTACATCACATAACACCGGAAGACTTGTCTTAGAAATAAATTCTTACAAACTACATCCACCTACTTGCCTCTTACACATTCCAGCAGTGACTATTGTCCTTGCTATTAATAGCAGAAAGACATTAATGAATTTGAATACAAAATGAAATTGTAACAGTGCTGAAAACTAAACAGTGAAATCAGAGATTCGAAGTTGAAAATTGTAAATTATAAATGTGAATCCCGCAAGTGCAAATAAATAAGCGCGTTCGAAGAAAAATAAATAGTATACAGATGGAAAAATCTTTGGTTCCGACCTACACGATTTCAGCAATAGCCTGAAAACATGATTACACCTAAAAAAGTTCCAAAACGTTTCCGTTTCTTTCAAGAGAAGGAAAGACAAAAATCTCGAAGAAGATGCCCTACGACACCACAAAGAGGTACAAACCAAACTCTGTAAAAACACGGTTGCTACTGAAATTTAATGATACAGCACAATTCACCCAACAAAGATTATACGCCTGTAATCAAGCCATATGTTTAATTAGTTATAAGATAGCAATCACATAAGGCGATTATCACTTTTTGGCGGAGGTGCTGTTCGTTCCAGTACTTGACCTGGAATTCTGTTAAGTAACAGATAAAGTCGTTGTATGTATAGTTATTTGAACAACATAAGTTTGCCATATTAAAAAAAAACTATAAGAAAAGTCACAATCATTTGAATAAAATAGCTATTTTTTAAAATTTCATGATGGAACCAAGCGAGAGAGTGAAGGAAGTACCACTTATACTAGAAAGATAATATTACTACCACTGGAACCGCTATTACAAAATTATAATGTCGAAATAAGGTCCGCTATAAAAACCATTAAATGGGAGATTAGAATGGTGTATCAAGAAGAAATGCGGCGCAATATAACTTCAACCATGAAAGTATATCCACCTTTTACTAAAATTTGGCGACTTGTCTCCAACAAAGTTTGTTGGGACAATCAGTCCACATCCAGAAGATAATTCCCGTTTAGTTGTGAAATTTGTTAGCGGTGTCTTGCTCAGTATATGTGGATCTCTATCCTTAGGAGGATTAAGCTCAACTGCTGCTAAACGCTTCCATAAATCTTCACGTTCCTTTTCTTTTCTCTTCTCTCTGAAATTGCAAATAATGAAAGCACCAGCAGCTTTAATACATAATATTAAGTCAAAAATTTTAAGATGAAACAATTGTCGAATACGTGCGTTGCATAAAATATCATTCATCAAAAATAACTCACTTCTGCCTTTCGAGTTTATAATTTGCAGTCAAATCGTCAAAAAGTTTTCCGTTCATTTCCATAAATGTTTTAAGAACATTATAAACAAGCGCCACAATTGTTTGGTTCCAGTGTTCCTTGCTTATCCGATATAATGCAGGGAACATTACCGGCATTACCTGTACTTACATGAGGAATAAATAACAAAGAGCACAGAACTCATTTGAGGCTCAGCAAGGATAGAGACAAGTGTTGCTTCCAAAAACTCTCAATATCTTGGAATAAATGACTGAATTATCATAGAAAAACCGTGCGAAGGTAGGAAGATGTAGTATTGGTCAACAAGAGGGAAATGTATTTAACTTAAATAATTATCATTAAAAGGCACTAAGGGATTAAAAATTCTAAAAAGGCTCACCTGACTGCTGTTTTCCTCAATGAGAGACAGAATGTACTCGTTATTCCAAAAATATAGTGCTCTTTCCGCTACCTAAACATATACTGCCGATAAGACAGGTTTTTCAAAAACATGTCACACAAAGGTAATAAAGAACTATAATTACTAAAGGACAAATAATATTACTTGAAAATGAGGGCTAGAAACACATTTTGAAAGTTGTTTGAATAACGGTTCAATAATTTTTTTAAACTGTTCCGGTTCAATAATATCGAGAATTTCTTCGACTTCACCCAAGAACATCACCTAAAAACACAGAAACACGTTTTTCTTTAATCACAAATAACTTAAGCTCATAAGAACAAAATTTTCAAAGTAATAACGCACCTCCTTTGCGCTACATGTCCTAGGCCAAAACTTGAGCAGAGCGTCAAAAACCTGTGGTGTCAGTGTTGAATCCTTTTCAATGAACTGCACAACGCAGTAAGCAAGCTGAAATTTTCATTACATTATTTATACTCAACTGAAATGAAAATAATCTATATTTTTCTATAAAATTTCAACATAATATAATAATAACCGTATTTTTGAATACGAAAAATGACAAAAAACCACAACTAACCTGTGCATGATAGAGACTCAAACAACGTGGTTTGTGAAGAGGGAGAAGCACCTTCACAAGAAATACCTTATGTTCCTGTTTTAATGGCAGAGCGAAACCATTTATAATGCTGCAATAGCAAAAATAGAATTTTTTTTATTATTTTTGTAAAATAACGATATTTTGTAAAATAAAAATTTACAAAATATCGTGATTTCAACAAATTGAATTTCAACAATTTCACCAGATTTAAAGTTAAAAGAATGATTTTGAGAAAAGAGTAATTGCTGAAAAAATCAATCCCGAACGTCCTTTAAAAACCAGATGTAAGGGAAAGAGATTTTACCTTCCTAGAATTTCCAGCAATTCACCAACACCGTTGAATGAATCGGTTTCGAAAACAAAACTGGAACAGAAAATGATGAGTGATAAAGTAATTCGAATTTTGGAAAGTATATATACAATTAATTAAAACAATATGTGGAATTATAGAAAGTGAAAATCTCTCACTATTCAATATCTTCTGTTAGAAGATTCGGAACGCAGCAACCTCACCGCACTCGATAAGAGTTGTCAAAAACAAATACCTAAAATATATTGGCATACGACTTACGACAAGAACATATTGTTGATCTGCTTCCTTATGAAGGCTCGCAAGCCAAGAAATTTCCCATAAATACGATGCAAAACAGTCTTCAAGAAGTCCCTTTCTCGTGGATCCTCCGAATCAAACAGATCTAATAGCTAAAATTCCATTTATATAACTATTTTGTAAAGAAAAATTTTTATTAAAACTTATGGGTAAGAATTTTCGTTGGTAAAAATTTTTAGAAAAAGCATTCCTCCAAAATATCAGGAATCTACCTTTTACAACTTACTACTTTATAATATTACCTAGTAAAGCGAGCATATTATTATGCCCTTAAATTCATAAATCTTACGCCTTTCATTTAATAAAAAAGAAAAAGCACAATTAATTGTACATAAAAACTCTTAAGCGCGCTTAAATCTTAAGTCTTAAATCTTAAATCTTAAATCTTAAGCGCGCTTAAAAATTTTGAAAAAGTTATTCTCAGCAGAACTGTTTTCATAGTTTAAAAAAATAAACTCCTGAGAAAATGTAATAACCGAAGAAACTAACATTGAGTACAAAACGTTGATCGATATATTTTTTCCCGATTGCAGCTTGAAAATCCGGCGATTCAAGAAATCGTAAAAAAAGTTCATAAACTAGCTGAAATTATGAAGAAAAGTTACCCAAGCATAAAGCGACGAAGAAATAGAGAGGAACTGAGTAACATTCTTTCAAGAGGTAATGACATGCTTACGTGATTAAGAAATAAATATTAATATAACTCGGAGTTGATGACAGAAACTTTAAATTCTTATTGAATACCTTGAATCCTGGCGAAATAAATATTTTTCTTTGAAGATAAATAAAATATTTTTTTCTGAGGATCGAAATTATCTTTAAAAAAACAAGGGGAAAAACGTTTAACCATTACCCAATTTTGTAAACATTTTAAAATTTAGCTAATTAAACATAGGATTTGAATTAATCAAACACACGCCTGCAAATGAGGCCAGGAAACTTCCAATGTTGGCTCATCTTCCTCGGGATCAAATTCCGAATTATCCGACGGCGGTAATACGCGAAATATATTTTTTGAAACCATTTTGATCACTTCTGGATATATTAATTCCGTTATAGCACCTTTTACTGTTGTGATATGATCTATCAACTCATTCAGAGCAGCACGTTTTATCTGAAGGTGGGTAGCCTTTAAAAAAGAAAAATCAAAACAAAGATTTATCGCCTAGGATCAATTTCTGAAAAAATAGAGTAATGAACTGATTCACAACACTCAATGACACTTGCACAATTCGCAGAAATGCGATGAATAAGATGAAAATTTTTAATGGCAATGAATTCCAAAAATGAATACCTCTTTACTTTTAATTTGAGCTACCGGGTCATAAAAATCAAATATTTTCTGACACTGTTGTAGCTTCTGAACAACAAGCGCTGACTGTTCCGCTGTTGGTGCATCTGCAACGAATATTCTTTTTGTGATAAGATTATACTGCAATAATGTTAATACTACTTCCGAACTTAATACTTTCCCGCAGTTCGCTTTGTTCCAGTTTTCGAAACCATACTTTCAAATGTTAGCACTAAATTGAATCGTTTGTCTTATTTCCCTCTTAGAAGTACACAATTTCGTTTCTACTGTTGCAATTTGTTTACTGTTCTAGTGTTAAAAGTTCAAGAATTCGACGACTACCAGATTAATTTTTCTAGATGAATTAATCGACTTAACGGAAGTTCACTGAATATGTCAAATTTATCGGATGTTGTTTTGTTGCCAACACATGCTTTTTCTTTTCATTTTACATTATTATCCTGACAAAATAAGAGAGGAAGTGCGGGAAGCGACAACAAGAATATTTCGAATTAAAACAAAAGTTTGTTCTTTGTTAGTAATTGCGAGTTTCATCAATACCCCAATCTGTCTTCCATACTTTTCCTCCTTTCAGTGCGCTATGTAAAATTGAAATATTGTGCTTTCTTTCTCATACTTTACATCGAAAAAAAATGAAATTCACACTCCTCTCTTCCTTCCTCTGTCTCTCCTCTATTTTTCTCCCCTCTCAGGAGGGAAGAATTATATATATTTATATATCAACACATAACCGTAAGAGTGATCAAACTTTCATGTTCGAGGATATCAGTGAAGGCCAACTTTCTAAAGGATATTATTCGAATTATTCGAAATCTATGGTATTATCTATTCACTTTACTCATTAATAAGCAAAGGCTCGTTTACGTCAGTATGATATATTTTTTCAAAACTGAAAAGAATTTAGTTTTAATACTGCACCATTTATATATTCTTGGATGGCTAAATGATAGTCTCCACATATTGAGAAGAGAAAGAAATTTTAAACTATCGATATTTTCAATTATGGTTAAATGTGCTATAAAACCGAAAACCATTCCCAACTTTGCAAGCAATTCGTGATACTACCAGTTTAATTTTATATAATTTCTGTATCTTTACTTTCACCGAAAGCTCTATCAGTCGGCATAACTTTAAAAAAGAAAGTTCCAACCAAATTCTTGGTCTTTAGAAAAGAATAAAGAGAATTAAAGGAATACCTTCATATTTTGAACTGTTAAAAAGTCAAAACTTAAGCAATTAAGGCCAAGCCTATTTGAGTTAGCGTAATCGCATAGCGACTAATAAAAATTTTTAAAGCAATATCAATTGGCTTATTTCACTTCTTTTGGTTACTGCTGTACGAAAAAATTATTTTGTAGCACACTTTTTTAATAAATTAAAATGAACTTATGTTTTTTCTAAACTAGACTAGCATAAGTAATTACAAAACAAAATGATCCAAGTCGAACAATTGTGTATTTTACTTAGTTTCAAAATACAGAGCAATGTAAAGCGCGAAGCCATCCTTCTCCGTTGAGTGACAATACAGAACACATTATAAATGCTATTAAGCATTAGTGTAGCTTATCCATACTATTCAAAATCTTATGGAATATAAACTTTAACCATAAAATAAAAAAAAGTCAAGCTGCATTCAAAAAAACCGAACTCGGAACACGCATCTTGATAAGAATAAGGCATATACTGGAGTCAATTCCAAAAAAGGATCTTGAAGAAGTTGCTAAACAGGACCCGAAAACCCATTAAACGAAATTAATTTTACATCAAGGATTAATTCAACATCAGTGCAGCTTATCCATACTATTCAAAATCTTTAACCATAAAATAAAAAAAGTCAAGCTGCACTCATTAAAGGGAGTGGAATGAGTTGCAACTAAATCATCTGAAAGTATAAAATGAAAATACGAAAACAGCGACGAGTGCTTGCAAGCATTTCAAAGATTACTGAGATAAATCGCACTAAATCACCGCTCTATTAATCCTGACAAATACATGAACATTTTAATCAACTTTAATCTTGTTATATTTATTCTATTTCGGTGAATCCGTTGACATTCGTTTTTGAAAACTATAGAGCTGAGCTCTCATTTGATAATACACTACGAATATCATCTTATGGGCATAGAGAAATTGATTTGAAATTCATATCAGAAAACTCATCCATTTTTGTCAACATTGTGAATAAGTAATCAGCATAACATGTAAAAGACGAAATTAGTGAATAGAAAACAAAATAAATTAGTTATAAGCTTAAAAGATCCAGATGGAGCAATAATATAGAACTGACCGAAGAAAAATTCAGAAAACAAAAAAATGTACCTTTAATCAGTGGTAGTTGAGTAAGTTCGGGCTCACTATCCGGGTGATATCTACTGCTATTGACCAATCTTCTTCGACGTTTACTTGTTCCTCTGCAAAGCAGTCTTTACAGGAAAATCCGTTCTGTTTGTGAGAAATATAAAAAATATACCTGCAGTATACTTTAACTCATCTTACAATGTCAGATATGACTATTTGTAGTTATTCACAATGTAAGGATAAACAGCAAAAGGTATGATCAATCAAATTAAATGGAAAAACACGTACCTTTTAGAAAATGGGTCAATTTTGTCCACAAACTGCGTGGCAGTTGCGGAAAGTTGCTGTCCTCCCGTGGCAGCACCTTGCGTTTTTGGTGGTGGTATTTGATACTGTTGGGCACCAATTCCACCTTTATCTGTCATTCCTTTTTACCTTAAAAAGTTCGCTAAAGATGAATTAATCAAGCAATCAAAGCAACTTCTAGATATAAGACCACTATCGACATTGCAATCCTACTTCAATTAGACGATCGACAAAGAGCTATTCCAGTGAAGGAGCAATTATTTGATAATACCATAAAATTAAAAAACTTTTAAAAACACCATATTTAAAAATGCCATTAGTAAAGAGTCCAGAACATCGGAGATTTTGAAGAAAGATGTGAAAAAAGGGAGTATGGTTTTGATTATTTAATAACCAATTATTATTGCTGAATGCTTAAGCCCAATTTTGGTGCAATTATTAATTCTACTGAATCTCAAGTGATTGGCTATCGACTGATGCATGGGGCATCAAATCAGATAGACGGCTTCACAAAAACAGCATTATGTTGCACTCTTACCACTTAAAGTAAACTCTCACACTTATGTCTTCAAGTTCAAACACTAAAACTTTAATCAATATACAACATAAAAACCATCTAAAATATAATGTGAACTGTTACAGAGATAATTCAATCATTTTTTTTGTTTATAAGGTTTTGGGATGAATATTGACAGTTCGCAGGCATCTAACACTCTCAAGACCTCTCAAACTTACCAGTAACCGAAGTTCTTTTATCTGACGGTATCTTCCGAACGGTGAATTGCATTCCCCGCTTCTTCCTCTCCCATTAAAAGAAAAAAATCGACTCCCCTTCCCCTCTCCCAAGCAAGACAAAAAAAGCGAAGCGTCTAGACACCCGCATCAATGTTGCAAAAAATTTGCTTTGCACAGGGACCAATCTTTCACTCTCGAAGGTAAGCTCAACTATTGCAACTTAATATCTTTGGTTCTTATCTATTCCACTATCTCTTACAATTTTGATAATGAATATGTCATTATTATATCAGTCGCATCTACACCAAGCAAAAACAAGGCTATAAGTGAGCTGTATACTTAGGCTTAGTTTTCTGTTAGGCTTAGCAGATTTGAAATGGAGCGCTGTAATTACAATTAATAATAATTATTATTAGTATCAACAGCTAACAATTATAATTGATGGTGACAATTAGCAAATAGTTTAGTAACAATCATAATAATCAATAATAATAATAATTAATGATAATAATTAATAATAATAACAATAATAATAATAAATATTAATAATAATAATAATAATAATATTATTATTATTATTATTATTATTAATAATAATAATAAGTAATAAAGTCGAATGGAGTTAGAGTCAGCCAGATGGAGTTATTATTAATTCTTCGGCGATAACAGGTATGAGCAGTTCTGGCAAGACATTTTAATGTCTGATTTGATGACATAAAATTAAAATTTTTTAAATTAATTTCTTTCACACTGATTGTTCACATGTTTGCAGACTGATATCGTCTTGATACACCGCTAATAATTTTAACTTTTGTTAGATTTTGATGAAAGGTAGGCAAAAGAAAATTATATTTTAAAGTTCTTCGTCATTTCGTTTCAAAAAGTTTGGAATAAGTCTAAATCTAAACTCTCAAAGATAAATTGTTATTTAAGGATATGTATTTCTATGAGAGAGTTAACATCTTAAATGAAATCGTTAATGCTAAATGCATCTACTCTATATCATCCAATTTTCCTCTCCGAAGAGATTCTTCAAAAATCCACAAATTCATTCAATTGTTTTATCTTTGCGTTGAATTTACTGCCCGATGAATAGTTTGATCAACTCGCGGAATAATTGAAAGGGAAGCAAACCAATAGCTCAAATTCAGGAAATCACCTCCCTATTATTAATAAGCAAATTTGCAAACTTTGTTTACAGCAAAAAACAAACCGTGGAGCTTTAAATTAGCAATACGAGTTGGTATTAGTAATCAAATGATAGGAAATGAATTAAATTGCTATATTATTCTCTTAAATAACTTACTTTTTCCTCTTCCATTTGCATATGGAAATGAATTGAATCAAGAAGTGAGGAATCTGAAAATTTCGTTTTTTCTTTTTAAACAATTGCTAAGGGATTTCTAAAATCAAACTGATACTTAGAATTGGAATCAAAATCTCTTGTTGATCTTCTCTCTCAAGTTAGACTTGACGGAATATCACAAGGAAATTTACTAATAACTATCTAATTATCATTAACTTTCGAACTAATACAATTATTGGAAGAAAATTTCATCGTCGTTTCTTCGAGTCCTTTAAAACAATAAAGACAAATGTCATTTGTACAACCGAAGTGGGTAGCACATTCGTCTTTAGAATTAAAAAAACTCTCCGATCAAGTTTTATTATATAAAATGTTTTCATGATTTCTTGTTTAATGGCTTTGGACGATTAAAATTCCATTTTAAGATCGCTTTTCTGCGGCTTCTAAAATCGATTTAAAAAAAAGTATAGTATAAATTTATTTGTTGGGAGTGCGCTTTCAAAAGAAAGCATCCTACATATGTTCATATGCCTTAATCAGACCACAATAGTTCAGACCTAAAATCATACATAAAGTCAGATTCTTTTCGAACAACAAAAAATTTCAAAAATCAAGTTAAAATGATATCAGCCTATATATTAGAATTATCAAATGATACCCCTAAGAAAATTGCGGAAATCCACTGGTCTGTTGACCAGCAAAACACCAAACTACTGATGTAGTTAACTCCACCATTTAGTATTATTAATTTATATATGCTTGATGCTGATCATTAGTTTTATGTTAGTACCACTGGCAATCAAGTCAAAATACTGATTGTAAAAAAATTATATATCAATTGTTTTTAATACTCAAAACTTCTTGATACTCAAAACTACAATTCCAGTGTTTCTACTTCAGTAGCTAATGCCATTAACTTATGTGTATTACCATGATGAAGCTATTTGACTATTGTTAAATAATAATAATTCGTATTTAAAATTCATGAAATTCATCTTGGATACTAACTTTAAGAGAGAGTATCATCAAATACTTTCTAAGAATTTTAGACAGAACAAAACTTTCAAGATGTGTTTCCAACTAATTTAATTAGTGACAATATTAATATCAAATATTAATAATTTTATTAGGGCACATAAATATTTACTTCATGATGCGATGTTTGTTTTTGAATCAAAAACTGCTACAGAGTTATAATTGCTAAAAAATAATAATAACAATTCTTGAACGAAAAGCTGCGATAGCTAAAATGGTGATTTGCCAAATGCAAAGTGTAATAGAATTTTCGTGTAAAATTTATTTAATTTATAATTTTTGCGTCGAAATTGAATTTGCTTTTTGAGAAAAGCATTACTTATTTATTTTAGTATCCTGAAATTTTCAGGATTGAAAAGGAATGAGATCCAATTTTTACTTTATTCAGAATAGCTTCAGCTAGCAATTGATGGAAACAGTTTTTTAGTTCAGTACTTCAAAATCGTTTTCAAAAATGAGTAAGTGAACTTGATGGAAATGTATATCATTCAAATAAAATTAGTTTAACATGAAATTTTGCTTTTTTAATTTCAACTTCAATCTATTCATTTATCTTTTTAGCTTATTTTATTTCTATCGAAAAAAAGTTTGTATTAAGCTCGACACTTCACAATCTTCTACTCTTCCTTTTACTATATTCAAATTATCACTTGTCCATTTTCATCTTCCGATTAACGCTTGAATACATGAATATATATGTATTTATTGTTTGTAAATTTTCTTGCTATCATATAGAAATTAGGTGGAAAATGCATTCTCATACAACCTTCAGAGTTGACAGCGCTTATCGCAACATTTTAAAGTGAAATTAACAAAAAGTATTGGGAGAAACGCTTTTGGGGAATTGCGTGAAACTTTTATTTTTCAGTTACTTTTCTCTATGATACTAAGAATGTTCAAAAACTTTTAAAAATTTTCAGAAATGTGAGTATGATAAGGATCATCGTGCATAATCTGCAAAGAATTCAATCTACAGTTTAATATGTTCCAAGTTCCATCTTGTAAACAATAACTAAAGATTGCACGTTTTTAAATTTTCATTTTGTTTCAAATAACCGTTAACTTTAGGCTATCATGACGACAATGTCTTTTTTCCTTGTCTTTTTCATTGAAGAAAACAAAAATGGATCAATAAAATTTGTACTGGAAATAATTGGATTGAAGATAAAAATTTAAAGAGCTACGAAAAATGGAGTCAAAGTGACCTATGACCAATATCTACTTCTTCGTGCACCAGTTATTAAATAACAAATCTTACTAAAATTTAGCGGGCTTTTGGTTCCAATAGTGATTTACGGTTAATTAATATCTCGCCCAAAATTTTCAAGACTAACGATTTTTCTCTAAGTATGATAGAATTATTTTATTGTAGAGCTTCGTTACATTACTGGGCATAGTTCGGTTTTTAAGAGTTTCGGAAGACTCTCCTACCAGAAATGCTTATTCAATATAGTTGTTGAAAGCGCTGGTGCTAAGCACTCTTCTAAAAAAAGCCATCAGTTTTGCACTTATAAGGAATCTCTTTGTCGTCACTTCGTCAATTCTTTTAACTTTTCTTGCAAATTCCCATTTAATAACTAATCGATTACTTCGATATTAACTATTGTTCCAATCGATCCAAATGATCAGAAATAACATTAAGCATTAGTTGGCATAACTGTTGGCATCTAATTTTATAGTAATTTGGGATATAATTGGAATCAAAAGTGATAGTAGTTGTAGAATATTTTATGGCCATCTTCAATAATCTCAACAGGTTATTATTCAGAACTTTTTCGTGAAATTAAATCGTTCGGTAATGTATGCATCATATTATCAGTCTATAATACAATAAGATTGAACTGATGGAAGAGTAACTTGATTGATGAAGCGATCGGAAATATTGATGACAGTGGAATGAACGAATAATTCAGTTATATTTCAATGCAAGAAAGCAGTGTGGAACGGAATAGAAGCAGAAAACATTTACTCCATCAGCTGATCGATTTTGTTCCATCCCGGCAGACCCGTCTCGCAGTAAATTCTTCACAATCATTTCTTCACCATCGTCTGTTATGTTTTTTTTGTTTCACTCTAGTAGTATTTATTGAATGAAATTGATTTCTTTCAATATTTTATATTCCATTTTCATTCGTATAATGAACGCATCTCATTTTTATTGACGGAATATTCTGTGAAATTCTTTTTTTTGTGCCTTTCTCTAGAATTATTAGTCCATCTGAAGTAGCATAAATTAGCATAATCGGTCTGATTCCCGTAGTAAATATTCTGAATAGTTTGAGTGCTAATCTCAGCTATTTGCTTATTCCATACATTTCTTGTAACGAAATTCTCACAATTCTTCAAAGGTGCGATAAATAACTTTTCAAAATATATGAATTTCTCAAATCTTTGATCAAAAGTCATTTTGAAATGACGAAAAGTCTCACGCATTTGTCATTTAACCTTGAATTTTCCAATTTTTTAATGAGTGAAATAACAGGAAAAGATATAAATTTCTCAATTCGTGAAGTATTTGGGTGGAAAAAAAGGAAGCGATTAGTAAATAGTAAAAAACGATGAAAATTTAATTCATTGATGGGAAAATTTTTTGCCATTTTAAAGGTTATTTCAGTTTGGGTGAATATTCGAATTGAAAGAAATCCGAAAAAATTAAACTTTCAATTTCTGATAATTTTTACAAAATCAAAATTTGAATTGTTTTTACGAATCTTTCATAAAATTGTAAAACGAATTCTTCATTAAATAATTTTTTAATCAAACATTTAGTATTTTCATCATTTTGTTGACATCGAAGCCTATCTGATAGAATTGCTTTCTTAAATTTTTGTTGTTTAAATGAGTGTTTCTGAAGATCTGTAAAAGAGAAAAAAGAAGTATTTAAAATAAATATTGCCATCGTCATATTTATTAATTAATTTCGTCCAATCTCTTAATGATTTATGAAATTAAAACAGAACTCACTCGTAAATGAAGATAGATGTGCTGTTGCCGAAATTCAAGCTATACATTTCCAATGACCAGCAAAGTGGTAAATTAGCAAAACTGATATTCAAAGTGGCAAATGTTCCGTATGAAGATATCAGTATTAATCGGGAAGAACAATGGGATGCCATTAGAAATGGTTTAGAAATTTTGGAAATTTTTAAATTTCAAGAATAATTCAATAATTTAAAGAGTGATACAGCACTTTACATTGTTTTTAAGGCAAGAAAAATCAAATATATTTTTGCATTTCCACATTTCTGAATTAAATTTAAATTTGGAAATCTTTGAACGAATTTAAAGATATTGGTGCCAAGATTTCACGGCATTCTATTCCATTTTAACTTCTCTATCTCATAATTAAAAATAAATAATTTACAGAGACACCACTTGGGACACTGCCAATACTAGAAATTGATAATCTCAAGCTGAATGGACAGACTGCCATCTGTCGTCATTTAGCCTGGAGGTTCGGTAAGTTCCACTGATATGACTATAGCTTACATAAGTTACATCAAATTCATATCGTTCTCCTTCTCCTTTTCTATTATTTAATATGAAATCATCAGGGAAGATTATTTCGTTTAAAAAATTATTTTGATAATTTGTCAATTGTTAAGTGGTAAACTAGTGCTGAATTTGTTTTGTATTCTTATAGATTAGAAAACTCTTCGTTACCTTTATTATGAGTGGAAGAAGTTTGAAAAAGTAATTTTAGTTCGTAACCTTGACTAAAGTCGCTTATTCGTTATGAAGAGTGATTTGACAGGACTGTCTGGACAAACTGCAACAACAGATGCATTGCTCGACATGTTTGCTGATTTGCTCTTTGAGGCTCAGATTTCAGTTTTCGGACCAGCAGATGATGATAAGGATAGCAATACCAATGTTAGTTACTCACTTAGATAATAACAGATCACATTTATTAATATCTTTGAACTGATTCTAAAATTCAGATTACATTTTCTAAGAAGAATTATAATTTGTAAATTTCCTGGAATTACGGGAAAAATTTTGCTGAAAATTTACAATGATTACTGCAAGTACCCAGTGGATTTCTAAATGTATTGATTAAAGGTCATTTTCCGCTATTATTTGATGGCTAATTTAGCGCAACTGAAATTTCAATATGAATATTTTCGTTGTCACATGATGCTTGAAACAATTTCAGGTTGTAATGGCCGATGATGCAAAAATTGGAAAAGTTTGCAACCATGTTGGATCCATTATAGAGAAACAACTAATCAGCAACAAGACTACATATTTGATCGGAGAAGAGGTAAGAAAGTTAAATAACTCGAGTGTAAAGTAAGGGGAATGAATCTCGATGGTCAAATGGATTGCAATAGGAATGATTTGCAAACTTACTATGCAACTTTGTTAGACATGCAATTACAAACTGCTGCATGGAACGGAATTGTTTGCAAATATTGCTTGAGATGTATTTCAGGCTACATGGGTTGACTTGATGACTTACGTATTTTTCAATTCATTGATAGATTACGGGAAGAATGTGAATCTCGACAGGTATCCGTCAGTGAAACACATGTATGAGAGAATCTCACAACTGATTGAACTTGGAAACAATTCTTAACAAGAGATAGATGAAAATATTAATGCTGCCTATGTAATAAATTATTTATAATTTCAAGAAAAATTATATCATAAGAGATGAAAAACTTTTTGGCTATTACGGTACTACAGGAGATATTAGGAAAGCTTCAAATAATGAAAAAAGGAAAACAATCTTTTTGTTACAAAATAGATTTTTTCTGGAATTCTTGGACACCTTATGATGAAACATCATTTCGTCCATTCTTAACTTTATGTGCCTGCTATAAAATCTCGTGATATTCAATAACATTACCAATATTGCTGGGGCGCTAATTATATCAAACACTTGAAATATTGCAATTCGTTATCATTACAAGGTGTAAATAGATGAGAGAAAGATAAAATTAGAGCGGAAAGAAATTTAGACCCGAAATAATGGCTGATGTCTTGAATGATTCAGAGTCTTTCCACATCATAAGTTGGAAATCTTTGATAGGATATGTAAAAAATAAAAAAAAATGATAAGAAATGACAAAATTCTTTTAAAATATGGTGTAAAACAGGTAAATGATATAAGATGAAATAATTATTCAAAAAGACAGTGAATTTTACGATTTCTTTAGGTCTAATAGCTGCGAGCTGCTCCAAGTTTATATCTTATCAATAAGCGTATTTCATTTCAGTATTTAACGGCAGTTTAGGAGTTTCTTTTAAATGATAGAAGTCGGTTGTTCACTTTCCATGCCATGTATCTCTGACTAAATCTTGGCTTTCGCTTAACTTCAGACTTAACTTACTAACGGTGCTCTGATACTTTAGAAGTGATCAGTCGTCATATGCTACTCACCTCATGCAAGGTCCTCATGCACACTCATCTTCAATATGTGCCGCACCTATCTAACTATTCCTAACGTTCTTTTAAAGTGTTTATTCACAAAACTTTAATTTTAGTATGTAAAAAGAGAGACTTCACATCTATTATTTTACAATGATATTCACAAGGGAGTATATTCTTCTCACTTCCAACCTACGATTTATGTGATCTGTTGGCATATGCATAGTAAACTAAAAAAAATGATACTCATCGACAGTTCACAGTGACACTGTTTTTCAAAACGTGAACGAAATTTTGTTAAAAAAATTACCGAAGGTATGAGAACCAAATCAATCGTCACTTCTTATAGATGACTCAAGTCTCCCATAATACTCCCATTTTTCACACTATCAAAGTAACTTTATGATTTATCTTTCTCATTGTTAACATCCCTTTCAAATAAAAAGAGAAGGCACGAAAATGCTTTCCCAGCTAATCTATTTTACAAAACGATGGATGAGTTCATTGATCCGGTCACTTAATTTATAATAAGAATACTCTGAGAGTTTGCTTTAAACTGTAGGTTTGAGATGGACATTTGTGACTAAGGGTTAGAATAATCCAATATGCCACGCCACTATAAAATAAATCTCAGGTGTTTGCCAGCATGCTATTCCCATGAATTTTTACTTAAAGTCTGTCTTTTCTCTCACAAACTACACATAATAATGGTTACTTTGTGACAATTTCGATTTCGGATGAGAAAGTTAAGGGAGCAAAACAGTGAAGCGTAAATAGCTTCTTGCTTCACTGCTACAGAAATTCGAAAGAGAACTGCATTTACCGGAAACAAATACAATACAGAGATTATACAATCACATAAACTAAATATAATGACACTAATTAGTTATGGCATATATATGAACCGCCACGATTCTATTTCAGAGACTTTCGTTATAATATACAAACAAAAGGGCGTAACAGCGGAATGTTTCAAATTATTGCAGAGCATTTGGTAGATAGATACTCAACCAACCAATAACGGGATAAAATAGATACCTAAATGCAGAGACTGGAAGTTTTCTTGTTCAAATGTTCTGATAATAATTATGAATATTTATAACGAAGATTCTTTTCCTCCATCAAAGAATTTATGACAATTTATACATGATGAAGACATCACTCATGAAATTATTGAGATCTTAAATGAAGCAATTTTCAGATATTTAATGAAATAATTTTTCTGATCACTTCGTTATTAAATCTAAGAGACGTGAGTTTACAAGCTATTATAATTTGAAATTCTACAAAATGATATGAAATAAATATATGAGCAACAGATGCCTGATAACAAAAGTCAAAAGTACATGATAAAACGATGATCAAGAACATTTGAGCATATCGGCAAAAGAAAACCGCGGTCTTGGACAAATCCTCTTCCTGGAAATATTTCATTTATAATTTTCAATAATTCTTATTCCTATAAAGCTCTACATTAAAAGGATAAGGAAGTGAATTATGAAAATGTTCCGTAATATGTTACTAATTTTTTCTACTTATTTAACTACTTATTTTGAACCTTTGTTCTATTAACTGAATCTGATGCATGTTTGTAAATTGCTTTAGGTTTTAATTATCAGCGGGAAATAAATAAGTAAACTAACATTTTAATAACAATGACACATGGTTACACATTTTGGAAAAAGTCTCATTATTGTCAACTGAATCACTCATTTCATGACAGTACATTTATTGTTACTTCATGACACATGCTGTAAGAGAACTGCTTGCATAAGATTTCATAGAAACTCACAAAATGTGCAAACGCGCATTATTCAACTCCATATTTGCTTTGACAAGAGAGGGCGACAAAGAATTTTGATCGCGTAGACGGCAGAAATTATGCAAGTCTGACACAATATCATTATTACCAGGTCTTGTGGTTTCTTCTTGCGGACGAAGAGCAAAAATCTTCATCTACAAAAGCAAGAAATAGAATAAAATACGACAAAGCTTTTCTGGTCAATCTGTCGATTCCAAGTTCTTTTCCTTTTTATTTAACATACCGACCATTACTGAGAGTTACAATACTGCAAAACTGATCGATTGAAATGAATGAGGTACTATTCAAGCGTTCCAGCATACGACGCAATGATATTTATGATCAAAAGTTATTAATTGAATCTTACGAAACGTAAGTACCAATCAAACCAGCCTTCCATCATTGCACATAATATTAACTTGAAAAGCAAAATATTGCCACTGTTTTTTGAATTTAAAATATTAAGAAGTAAAGCATTTTGCTGTCGCTCAGAATAGAAATAACTATGGAAAATGCAAATAACTATGGAAATAACTATGAAATAACTATGGAATTGTACAATAAAGTGAAAAAATACGTGAGACAATACTGACCTCCAGCTCATCATTATATTGGCTGAAGATATTGCTCTTTTCTTGCTTCAGATCAACGACAATACAACTTCCTCCACTACAACCACGCACATGATCCAGAATGTCTCGTTCAATACATGATGCACGTTTACAACGATTACAGACGACTAATGATGGTAATAATTGAGATCTGAAATACGGAAGTAAAGAATGCCAGAAAATCAACAGTTTTAACTGCTACAATAGGGATTATTTCCTAAGCTCATGACTAAATGAATAAATTTGCTCTTCACCAGAACTCTTTATATCACTGATTTCTCTATTCTTCTTTTATTCGTTAGAAACATTTATGAAGTACAGAAATGCATAAAGAAATATAAAGAACATTTATAATAAACAAAATTTGAAGTCAACATATATTATTCATACCATATAAGTACTGTAATATGTCGTGGAATTTCAACAGCTATAATAATATTATAAATGTGACATTTCAACAACTAATAATATTACAAATGTTTTTCATCCCTTATTTATAAGCGTGCTACTTTGTTAGAATAGTGATAAAGCTTAAATTTGCCTCGTCATTCCTTCTCGTTCCTTTCTGCATTTGATGAATTTGTGTCGCTGTGACGCATTGTGACAGTTCGTACGATAACCGCAATGAGAACAATAATAAATATGTTTGAAATGCTCACACACATTATTTAAACCTTCATTACATTCTATACATCTCCTCTTTTTTTTTGACCATAATTTGCGGCCCTAAAACAAACCAGCAGTACTCATAACCGAGATCTGCAAAGCACAATCAAAACTGTTCCATTGAAAGCTTCTTTCACAAAACTTAATTCAGATGAACAGCTAGTTTTCAAGTCAAAAAAATAAGATGGTTACATGAATTTAAGTAGCTTAATCAGCACCCAATTGCGACGCATCTAGTGGTTCTGAACATGTTTTTTAAAAAAGCATTTTTTCAATCTTTGAATATATAAATGCGCAGCTTCGTCAAACATAACTTTTTAGATTAAAACAGGAATTAAATATACAAAGTGTAAAAATGTTAATTCATTACTTTTCGCCTTGTATGTACTTGGACACTTTTTGAGATCCACTTTAGGTTTGGCTGAGTATGCTCTTTCCGATGAGCGAATTTATCAGCATATCGTATGAATTTCAGTGAGCACTGATCACAACCATAGTTTTCTAGAATGGGAAGTAAGATCGCGTCATTTCACCAGACACAATTTTATTTGATGTTGTGAGATCAGTAAACTGATATGAGAAGGGTAAAAACTGTAATATTGAAAAGTTGTTAGCAATGCATTATTTGTTCACATTTTTGAAACGCCTCACCTTCCTGATGTTGCAAAAAATGTTTGACATATTCGCGTTCGCTTGTCACAGGTGATGTGTTGTCTCGCGGTATGACATAAGAGTAAAGACAGAAGGGACACAACAAAGTACGTGTATTTGAATGGAATCGAACAAAATGATCTATATAATGGGTTCTTATTGAAGTCCTGTATCGACATTTTTTACAATGAAATGGTGCATCGAAATCGCCATGAATTTTCCGGTGCTTGCTCTAAAATCATAATTACAGCTTTCGATACTTTAAAATAGATCTAACGAAGGAAAAATTTAACAAGTGCACAAAAGTTAAAATCTTATGACGTTTCATAAAAATGGAGCGTCTTGCTTATAATCAGTCAAACACTGACTCCACAAATCGTACAGAATTATAAGTTTCCTACAACATATCCGTTGCAATAATGGAATTACTAGGATGACTAACGTCCCAATAAACATATGGATTCGAATTTCTACGAAGCTACGATTTAATGCTTATTAATCGAGTCAATAAGGCATAACTGATGACAGTTTTTTATGAATAGCACATTTTTAAACAAAAGATACAACATCATTAAACGAAATATGAGTTTCTTCATGTAATAGAGGACTGCTGCCATGTAAGAAAATAACAAAAAAGTGGGTTAAAAATATACCTCATCTACAGTGATTTCACATATTTTACATGTGGACGAGGATGGCGTCGCACTGTGAACATTATCATAATGGATCTGCAGACGATACGCAGTAGGAAATAAATGTAAGCACTGTGGACAACGGCAGAATCGGTGCATTTCTCGAGGGCAATTAAGACCACTGCCATAACTGAACTCAGTTAAATGTGCCCATAAATGGAACATGAAACTTACATTATTTGAAAGCAGCATTCGGCAGTTTCCAACGGAACACTGGAAATATTAATATAAACAAACCGAGAATTCAGGCAAAAGTGAAAAAGTAACGTACTTCATCGTAAAATGCACATAATGATCAACAAGGACTTAAAAATAGCTGATTATATTTCTTGGCCTTTATCTTTCGTAATCAATCTTTGTTAATACTTCCTACAGTGGTTCCGGCCATTACATGCATTATATTTCTTGCTGCAGTGCATGTAAATCATTCCGGGAGAGGTTTACAGGTATCAAACTGTTCATTTAATTCCATTAGCTACTGAATCTATCGACGTCTAGCGGATGAAGATACATCAAATATTGCTATATATTTCCATTTTTTAATAAAATTTAATTAAATTATAGTATCTAAATAAAAAATAAAAAAATGTAAGATAAATTAAAATAAAAAATGAACCTACTCGGAATTTGGCATTGAATTGTTGCGCTTCAAACGGCGGTGCTTTCGGATCGTAACTTTCATAACAATACGAATCTAAAGTACTTTCTCTACGTGACGATGATAAAACTATATAACTAGTGCCATTTTCCGCACTAGATATGGCCCGGTTTTGGGGTTCTAAACCAGGTTGCTTAGTATGTGAAGTCGACGCGAATGCTTTCTGCAGCATTTGTGTTGCGGAAGTTTCCGAAATATTAACTCGGCAGAACTGCGACGAACGTGTACGCACTGGTGGTTTGGTGACTGTAGATTTCTGCAACTTAGAAGATTATCAGTTTTTTTTTGATTAACACATCAATTGAAAGCTTATTTATCCGAGTTTCTCAGCTAATGTAAACCTTGTTTGAAAAATGGCTGAAAAATGAATCTATGCAAATAACTGCTTGCGACTCAATTAATGACTGACTGAGTATTCTACTAGTTTGTAGCTGCTTCAGTAAACTATTTTATCCTCTTGGGAATTTATTTGATTGCAAAATTTCTAAAGCCTTTAGTTTACATTACTAGAATAGGAAGTTAAGAACATTCAGTAGGATTATTCGCCTAGTGTTCCTTTTGAAAAACTAATACTTATGCAAAATCTTTCAGACATTCTTCTAGATTAGTCTTTTCTGATCTTCCAAGCATTCATTTCAGTCCATCACAGTGCTTTCATTACTATTGAAAAGCCAAAAACTAACCCATGGTTGCAGTGCTGAGAAATTGAGAGGTTTCGCACGAATAATTGAAGCAGTCGCCCCCACATTTCGACTTTCTGAATTATGCCCATCGCTGTCATCGTCATCGCTATTATCAAGTGTTATTACTTCTGGACATTTCATCATCTGGAAGAATAAAATTAATTACATTAAAGGTTTAAATAATGGATTGAGGAACAGGCTAATTTGAACACGATATGGCTTTCTGTGTTGTTGCTAAAGTAGCTTCTCATTTCTACTTAGAAAGAGTAGAAATGAGAAACTACTATAGCAACAATACAGGAAGCCATACCGTGTTCAAATTATGGTACATATCTTGCTATTTTACTAAATTTATTTAACAGTGTAATAAATACAGTCCACTGCATGAACCCAAATTACTAGATTGAAAGCTCTCAATTCTGCAAAGCAATGAGGTACTAAGTAGAGGACCTCAATTTAGGTGAGTTAATTAATGGAAAAAATGTATGTCGTTATATACCACGAAGTTTGTAATGTGAATTATTTTCCTACTACCAGCAATGTGTTTATCACAATGCTTCATAAAATTTCTCCCTTCCTATGGCCAAGTCTCTCTTAGCACATTCCTATAATTGGAAAAATTCAAAAAACTGGCTCAATATTTTTTGAGCGATGTTCGATCTTCGGATGTTGAATTTTCAGTGCCCATAATATCATCTCAACAGGAAGTCGAAAATTTTGTTCCATATACTGGTATTTACCCATAATAGCAAGGATGAGAAGGAAAGACCAATTATCAGATTATCAGTCCAATGCAACTACTTGCTCACTTTGCAACGTAACACAGAAATAGTGGAATCTTGGTATACTACTGGTCTTACAAAATTTTCACTGTTTCCAGGTTTCTAGAAGATTGTATTTCGATAAAAGTACCAAAAATGAAAAATCGTATTTCGGTTATAGTCCATCCCTTCCAAAATTTTTAAATTAAAAGATGCACCAATTCTATTTTGCAGAAAAGAGACGTTAATGTTAAATGTACCTCACCTCCAATAATTTCAAGAAATCTAGCCGTTTCTTAGTTCTTTTCACCGACAGTCCCACAAACTCAATCTCGAATTCTAAGATTTTCCGAAGTATTAGTTACTTAAGCAGCTAGATTTATAGATGTGCTCTTTCTCTACAGATGCAATCAACGGTCCAAACCATACTCCATATGATGTGTACCCAATCTTAATTTAAATGACCCCTTTTGAACTAACTGTTCAACTATGCTAGATTCATTTCATAAATCTTCCGGCCTATGTCTTTAACCTCACAAAAAGTTTTATTGCTCTTGCAGATTTAAGAAGTGTTCTGCGTCAGAGTACAAGACATATACAAATGATCCACATAAGTCTTCACCCGGAACTTCCAATAAGTCGGTTACGCATTATGGTTACGCAGAAATAAAGAAAATCATCTTCCCAGGTTATGCGTGGATTCATCTCGGCTTCAACATAGCTCTCAAAATGCATCTTCCTTCCGCTACCGAATATCCTTCCCATCAGTAGCATGCTTTTATCCGTGTTCATCTTTCCCTCAAATAAGCCCTCCAAATAATGTAAAAAAATGCCATTATTAATCACGTCTTTATCGCTGTAATCCGAATACCCCGTCTCCATTGTCTCCGACATTTATTATTTCGACGATACTACCTTGATCGGCCGGAACGAAGTATGCAGAGCATCAAAAGTATCTTGAAGTTTTATAATTTCCTATTTTGGCTCCGAATCAAAACAGAAAAGCACGCTTTCCTTGTCCATTGGTTCATCAATCAATACGGTCAATAACTTCATTCGGTTAAGAATCCAAGCTTACCAATAAATTTCTTTCTCAGTTTAATCAGCTAATAAAACGATTTCTTCGGAAAACTAAGAATCCTCTTTAGTAATCTTTCTGGCAAAACTGTCAAATTTGTTTGTTCAATAATTCGCCACAAGCAATTTTTTATGCACTATGAGTTGTACTTTCTAAACAGCGCTACAAATGCTTTCAAGTAGAACATTTCAGCATTTTTTTTCGACTCCAAAAATAAGAGCTATAATCAGATAAAATATCTATCACATCAGCAAGCGAAAAACTCTACAAAATGACTCACAGTTCAGCTAATTATTTCATCGTCTACACACTAGTCCTGGCTTGTTTGCTATCAAAAACTGTGCATTAAATGATGGTAAGAAAACCGAAATTAAGAAAATTGCAATTCATCTATGTCAATAAGGCAAGAATAATTCCGACCACTCCAATCTATCAATCTGTACATCTCGAAGTCTGTCTTCATAGTAAACCTTCATTCAAACTAGTTATGAACATTTTGTTCGCAAGTAAGACAAAGTTGCTGGAAGATATGCTAATTAAAATCATTCTTCCTATTCAATGCTTAAGCCATTTTAAACTCAGTAACACGATGTTCCCTCTTTTCTTGCCAAATCCGCAATCAACAGTACCAGCACTCATTTCAGAGAGCCAAACAGCAGACAGTATTTCGCGGTTATTCAGAATTGACTTTAATTCTATCAATAATAAACAAACAAACAATTGTGACGCAATTCGATGGAATCGCATTCCAAATCACGCTAGGTCGAGTTATTGGAGTAATGATTACGAAATTTACGCTGACCAGCATCGATTCATTTCTCTATATGTAGTTTCTTCAGTGGATAAAATTATACTCTTTTCAACCATGGTAATGGAAAATTGGAACCATCGTTTGTTTACGTTAGCTACTTTTCCATTACATATATTAATTAGATTTTGCCAAGTGCACTGGTAGGTTCACCCAATGAATTGTCCTAAGTGTGAGTAACTTACATAAATTCTAGTAAGTATTCCGCGCTACTGTCTTCGTCACTCTTTCATTTATAAACAAAGAGCTCCAACCGACAATCAGGGTAATATAACTTAATTCCGACCGCAATGCCGAAGTTATGTGAAACGACTTGGACTAATGAATTCATGGTCACGTCTAACGTGATGTGGCGCAAGTACTCGGTGATGTCGTATTTCAGTGGTCGGTTCACTACCTTATTCTGTCGGCGCTTGCGTATTTATATGCACGTAATGCTCTTAATTACCTGTCTTGTTAATATATAAGGTCGTAGTGACAAACTATTTCCGGAATGTGCAATTTTGTATCATTTTAGTACCAAATATTTCAGGGATAGCTTTACATATTAGATTTTATGCGGACTAAGCTGAGTTATTGAGAGATATCTGCTTTAATTTTATAGATTGGTGAATAGAAATTAAAGCGACGTCAAGGCTATTCATTTCGAATGCGCAATTTTGTTTTGTTGTCTTGTTGTAGTTAAAATATTATCGATACATTTACTGTCAAAATTAATTGAATGGTCTAATCTTTCGTGATTACAACAAGGCACCATTACATCTCACGAGTTATGTTAGGTAGTAACTAAGGAAATAGTAATATTAATTTCTTCTTTTTCTAGAGTCCATGCGTGTTAAATTCGTTCAAAAAAGTCTTTAGTTACCTTAACATTTTTAACTAAATTTTTCTGACATTAACAATGAAAATTTTCATCCATAATAAGTTATAGCTGGTCAATTGGTGTTTTTCATATCCTTAGTAGGACAGTGAAAGATGTCAACAACAGTAATATACTATAATTTGAATTGTTAGTAGTATCTGATGAACCATTACATCTGTCTCCATAACAAGTACACAACTGTACATCACCAAATACTGGGTAAAGTTGTCTGCGGTCCAAATTGTACAAGTGAGCACGAGGTAAACTTCGACATTGATTCACCTAAACAGAAAACAATGATTTTTATGTCTTTTTTTAATTCTGCAAAATATCCATTTATCAATTTTTCATTATTATTAAAAGGCTAAAATTACCGTTTGGAAGCGGTGCGTTTTTACTGCAGTTTCATTGAAACCATTCCTTAACACTCGATCCAAACAACCACGGATGAATTTAAAACCGATGAATACACCTGGAAAAAGTATTGGTGCTTAGAAAACGATAATATTGAAAAAAACCAGAATAAATTTTCATGTTTGTTCTTCATTCTAACTTCTAGCCACGTCTTTGATGAAATGGATGATAATCTCTTAAAAAAAACTTCGATCATTCCCGATAATGGATTGATCCAAAAGGAAACTAGTTGTGTCATAAAGGAATTCCACATTTTTAGCATACATTACCAGATATGTTTGGCAATTTAACATGTAATTTTATTTTGATGCGCAGTATTGAACATGTCCAGGACATCATTTTGTCGAAACGTATCATTTAATTTTTACCAATTGATTAAACTCACAATGTTTTTGTTAGTGTTAACTCAGGCAGTAGTTTGATTTAAATAAAGTCACAGTTTTGTTACGATCAATTTAAATTTAGTGATTAGAAATAATGCGAACAAACCAGCTTCAACATCGGGTTCAAGTAAATTAGCACACATTGTTGAACAAACTACAGTGGGAATGTGATTTGAAAGTTGTGGCTCATTACATCGATTCGTAAACATCTAAATATCGAGTGACAATTATAGAAATTTGTCGCATTTAAGTGTCCTTTAACTTTCCCTATACCACTTTAAATATCTAAAAAAATTCTCAATTTCTCACGAGAATTTAAGCGATTTTTAGGGTAAAAACTCTGATGAATTTCAGAATCTCAGTTTTTTCTCAATTTCTGTTTTCAAGCGTATGATCGGTCTTCTCTCTTTATGTTAGATCATTCTCATATTCCTTTTTCTATATTTCTAATTATATCGATCAGGAAAAAATTGTAATAAGTCAACTTAAACCTTCGTTTAAAACTGATAACTACATAAAAATATTTAACGGTATCTACTCAATTTAGTCTAGAATTTAATTTTTGGAAGCATTCGCCTTTTAAACTCAAAAACAAGAATGTTTCTCGAAAGTTTTAATCTGGCATATTAAACCTCTCAAAAATTTATGAGGCAATAGGAAACCTTAGTATATTATGCAATAGGAAACCTTAGGTGCTGTATAAATGTATTGCAGATGCTCCCAGCGTTCTTGATAACTCAATGACATACAGGAAAAACATTCGAATCGATGGGGTATGGTATCTGAAAATAAATTATATATATATATCGATGAAAGTTTTCGCGACTATGATAATCAAAATCACTAACATATCATCAATGAAATAGTGATATGCTAGTAATTTTGAAAATTCTGATATCACCAATGAAATGCAACTAATTATACCAAATCTCCCATTGAATTAAATGGACTTAATATTTTACCATATGCACATTTCAAAGTTGAAAACTATGTTAAAATAATATTTAATTGGGATTTTTATGTTAATTTTTCATATTTTGGTAGTATCGATGGTATCGTAATGATGATCCTATCATTAAACAATGTTTTGACATATAAAATCTTTTCTTTCTGTTTGAAAAACAATAAAAAGAGATAACTTCCAAACTTCGTACATAATTGATTGTATCACCAACACCATTTCCTTCCACAATATGTTTATTTTTATTGATTAACATTGAAATAATGAATTAATTTTATGAATTCTATCTTTCCTTACTACGCAGGTCTTTAATTATAAATTTTCCATTCTAATGAGATTCTAATTACAAACTGATTAATGAATTTCAAATGGAATTAATGAATTTGAGAGCAGACTTATAAAGCATACAAAAGCATATGTTATAGGTAAAATGAAAGAAATTAAAGTACCAATTTCCATCAGATCGACAAATTCTTCAGCGGCGCACAAATATGAAATATCGATAAAAATGACCATTATCAATATCATCAAACTACCTACACCTTTCATTTCGACATTGTCGCTCACTTAGTCCATCAATGTCCGTCTTCTCAGTTATTTTTCGAGTTTCAGTACAATTTCCTTCATAATCACAAATATCGGCGAAAAATAATACTAATAAGCTCACGACTCAGAAACAGAAAAGCTGTAATTTGAACTTTCTTTGCAGAAAGTGACGACATAAATATGGTTGCAAGTTAGTAGAAAATTTCGTATGCAATTTGGCGAATTAAATAATAGCAGTTACTCAGATTTAGCTATTACTCATTAATATCATAAAACAAACAGAAAAACATTTTAAATATTTAAGAACGCACTTCAATGCATAAGATGAAATTTGACAAACAATATTATTCGTTTTTAAAAGATTGCTGACATTACTGATAATTTAAACATTACTGATAATTAAAAGGCATAACTCATTAAGAGATAATAAATAATTAAATTATTTATTGTCTCTTAATGAGTTATGCCTATGTATTTCGTAAACAATTTTTGCTGTATTTTTAGCGAATAAAAAAAATAATGTGAACCGTGAATTGAAATTGAGAGAGGATTAACATTAGGATTAATGTTAGAAATTATTCCTTAAATGACATCATCTGGAAAATCTCAGGAAACATTTCGGTAAATGTCGCCTCATTCTATTTGAAGATAATAGCTGTAAATTATAAATAGAGAGAGAGAGAGAGAGAGAGAGAGAGAGTTCCTTTCCCCTTTTGTTAACTAAGGCCTTTACACAATATAATATATAACAATAATGAATTCAATTATCTATTTTCAATTTAATACAATATTTATTTTTAAGTCTATTTTCTTCAATTGTTGCATGCAATTTAAACATACAAAGTAAATTATTTACCGAACAACACCAGCAGCTAAAAATACGGAGCAACATTCTGAAATTATAAGTTAGAGCAAAATTAAACAAATGGCTAACATTGAAAGAAGTAGAGAAATAGAAAATTGAAAAGTTGCTTAGAGGAATGAAAAAGCGCAACTATCGCAGTTTTCCACATGTCTCAAAAGCTAATTTATTAAATTAAAAGCTTACTTTGGCATAAATTTATAAACTTTTACAAATAAAAAAATGAAGTAAAAAAACTTTTCAAGAAATTATCAATCAATAATGTACAATTTTTTTAGATTATTTTTAGAATAGAAATACTTTTCTGATAATTATATTCATTTACTATAAAAGTGTGAAGAGTTGAAATAAGCGCATTGGATTACCGCCCTGAAAGTTAAATCTAAAATTTTACTATTTTCGAGATTCCTATAAATGAAGACTGTCTGAGGGTAACAGGTGGAAATTCAAATTATTCTGGGTATCCATGGGAATTAGTTTTGAGCTTTTCATTTTTAAATTACCGAAGGATTGCGAAATAATAAAAGTAAAAGGAAATTTATCTTTCGTCGTGCGAATATTTTAACTAAATGGAACTGTTTGCGATGTGACCTTTTAGTTGTTTACTTCGCAAAGAGAAGTTTGAATTGTTTGCAAAATTTTGCTTTTCATTCATTTCTCCAACAATTCTTTCTTAAAAATGTTAAACAATATATTGGCATTACTTTGTCCTTTTCTGTCAAATATATTCGGTAAATAATCATATCAAAAAGTTATGACAAATAAAAAGAGCTATGAAATTTTGAAAGAGTTTAAATTTATTGAATAGATCAGAAAGAAGTTATTGCTTTCCATTTCACTAAAATGTTGAATTGGTTGAGAAACTTTACTTCCAATGTAACCACATTGAATATCTTTCACCAATCAAATAGATTGCCGAATAAGTAAAGATTTTAAATATTCAAAATTGCTTCTTTTTTCTGATAAATTTTTATGATTAAGAGCGAATATAATAAATGTAATATGTCTACTAAAGATTTTCATCGATTACTAAGAGAATTTCATTTTCCATAAAATTTTGAAATCAGATAATGTTAATGAATGTGTAAACAATTTTTCATAGCGTAATTTTTTGATGCAAAATTAATTTCAATTAGTTGAATCACTTTTTTATTAACTTTTGTTAAGTGATGATAAGGTAAAAGACAAGAAGAGAGGTCGTCTAAAAGACAAATCTGACCAAACTGCTGATAGCTATTTGTTCATCAATTATTGAAAAAAAAGTGTTTCACCTACTTTTTCAGTACAAAAAAATTTGCAAAAAATTTGCAGAAAAGTTTCTGCAATATACAAAAGTGTATCGCTTTATACAGCTGTTCTGAATCGGGTACTCACGGATATAAAATTGAAACAAATTAAATTCACTGCTGCCTTTCTTTGTTAAATTCCGATGTCCATTAGTAAATAGCAAAAAGTATCGCCTGAATTTTCAATAATTTTCCTATCTTATTTAATGTTATTATAGGTAACACTTGAAATTAAAATTTCTATGCATTCCTGCATGTAATCAATTTTCAGATAATTACGGGAAGAGGAAAACATTGGAATTGGTGAAACGGAAAAGCATAGACTTTTATCCGAAAAGAATAGCTGATGTTTCTAAATATTGAGCTATCTGCTTTGAAATGTTTGTATTAGAAAAATAGTTGGGACATTAAAACGACGTTATTAAATTTAAGTGTGATATTAAAAAGCATTTTCAATGTGATTTGATATGATATTGAGGAAAGATTATCAGTTATGTTAAGCAATCGAAGAAATTGGAGAAAGAGACTTTTTTTGAAAATGTAGTCTTCGTCCCTTGAAAGATGAATTATTTACGTATGAATTAGGACTTTCGAGCTTTTCTATATAAAGCAAAGAGTTATTAATTTATTCGTATCATAACAGTTCTTAATATAACTGAATAATGGAAGGCTATTACTTAATTTCATTTTAAAACATTCTCTAAAATTATGAATATAAATCGCTGTCATTAGAAAAGTATGAATTGCAAAAAATGAAATTAATACGGTAAGCGATCTTAATTATTTATGCTTGTAAATTCTGAGCTTTAGTACTTGCTAGAGTGAAGTCGAATAGCTTCAAGTCTCTCATTTTTTTTAAATTTCCGATTTTTTTTAAATTATAATTTTCCTTGGAGTAAAAAAAGGAGGGTGAAAATGGAGGAAAAATAGGGAAGATAATCATATCTGTTAGCCTTCTGTTTACACATATTAGTTATCTGTCACGTATAACAAACTTTAAGCAAATCTTTTTTGTTTTTAAAAAAACTTTAAAGAAAAAAGAATTATACTGAATTCGATCGCTTGAAGCTTTTCATTTTTTTTCACTATTAGGCGTTATTTTCGACTTTTTAAAATTATTATTTTTCTTAAAAGAAGAAAAGAAGAATACTGTCACTTAAAATCTATGTTACATAAAATAGTTTAGAATAATATTTCAAATCTCATCAGAATTAAGAGAACTTCGTAGACTAATTATCTGATTAGTAACAGTAGTAGAGAGAAGAAATAGTAAATGGATAATTTAGCCATTTAGATATAGCGCTATTAGGAGGTGACCAATATTACCAAAAAGAAATCCATTTATTTTTTAAAAATTCTCATTGATTTTTTTATCATGAAAGAAGATAAAAAAAGCTATCCTATATTGTTAAGATTTAATTACTTATATATGCTTATTAATTGTTAAGCTCAAAAACATAATTTGGATAAAAATATCAGCTTTGAAATGAAAAAACTCATTTTATTGTGTTTATAATATCAAAAGAATGATAAAACTATCCTACTGTAATGACAATATCCTATTCTGTATGATCTCTGATACAAAATTAACAGTAAGAAAGAAAATGTAATGCTGGAAAAGTAGGATAAAACTTACTGTAAATTCTCAATTTTGAATAACTTGCAGCACTCCATGCTGTGCGTACAAATTCCGTCCTTTGGGCGCTGTTTTTGTCATAAATTTGCATATTTGACCGTTTTGCAAAATTGATTTCGTAAGAGGTACACCACATCAATACTACTGAGAATGTAATACTCGAAGACCGCATTTCATTGCTTTTCACTTATTTTCTCTATTCATTTTTGCCCGAATTTACGAGAAGTAAGCAATAGATATTTGTGAATTAGCAATAGTAAATATAAATCAATAAATACAAACTGAGTTCAAATTTTTAAATTTCTTAAAATATCCAAGAGAATCAGTTGCAGTGATATATTTGGTTTTGTTTTTGTCAATAAATGGCAAATGATTGATAATGCGCAATTGTTTTAGACCATTGAAGCAGCTGATGAATTAGTAATCAAGTAACAGTCTAAAATGACGCATACTTAGTGACATTTCAGTAAAGAGATTTTCAATATGTTTCACTATAATTTTAACAAAATAGAAATTAAAATTTTAAATTTGAAATTGCATTATCGACGATAAGTTAATTAGTTCCGGTTAATATCGGTAAGCATTAGTATAAGCTTAAGCTCAATTAACACTTTGTTTCGTTTGTATAAAAAGATGTGCATTTGTAAGTCATTTTGTATTCCTTCAGATTCATAAGTAAATATCAATAAATTTTTTTCTACAGAGGCAACAAGGAGGTGAAAGGTTAAAAATAAAATACACTGCACGATTTACGCCTACTAGAATCTCAAACCAAAAAAATTATCTATTCAATCTTTTAATTGAAATTAATTATCATAAAAAAAGTCAGTTAATTCTATCCTACAGAAGAGAATTAATATATTTTGTAAGCCGATAAGAATGAAACAGTAAAATTACTCTATTTCATATATTTCTTATAAAAGTAAAAGAGATCAGAGGAATAAGAAGAAATGAGTGATACACAAATTTTTTTTTGAAACATTTAAATTATTTAATAACATTCCTCAGGTAATTCATTATTTTCATTTGTCTTTTTTAATCTGAAATTTCTCAAAAGGTAAAATTAAGAAATATTTCAAATATGAAATTTCAATATATGAATATATATTATATACTTTTTTCATAATTACTTTTAAAGTTAAATTGTGTTTTTGATTATTTTAAATATTGCATTTTGAGTTTTATCGGAATTATTTCCATACTGATAACGACCATAGCA